CCCGCCTCCGCCGGCCCCCGCCTCGTCCCGGCTCCCCGCGGGCAGCGCGGGGGAGGCTCCGTGGCCTGGAGGCCTCCTGTCGGGGTGGGGGTCGTGGCAAGAGGCCGCCGGGCGGGCCGAGCGCTGCCCCGCTCCGTGAGGAGCAACCGTGAGCAGCAACGTGCTGAACCGCTCGCGGGCAGTTTCCTCTCCAGGAGCGGCTGTCAAAGAAGTGGCTCCATGGTTAAGATTTGGTGGAGCTTCGGGGTGCTTTTCTGCCCCAACCTTGAGCAGTGTGGGCGCTGAGCTGCTTGGCAGCCTTGAGGGCATACGCCAGTCCTTGAGTCCTTCACCTTCCCTTTGAGAGKAGCTCAAAACTCTTAATTTGGCAGAGATTTCCCCACAGAAGGGGGCATTTGGGCTGGGAGACAGAGCAGAGGCACAGAGCCTTGCCCAGGCAGTGGCATCTTCTCYGGGAGAAGCCATCTGGGCCAATGATGGGCACAAACATTGAGATGGAAGCAGTGGTGGAGCTTGAGCCTTGTGTTGGAGACTTGTCTGCGTGCATCTGACAGGACAGGAAGGTTCCCCTATGCCAAAATGTTTAGTTGAAGAGAAGACAAAAGGAAGAAAAGAGGAATTTTACATCAAAAGGAGCTGTTACAAAATAAAGAGCTAGGAGTAGCGGCACTGAGAAGCAAATCAAAACTTAAGTCCTGACCTGCTTCTTTAACCTCTGCTAATCGTGATGGAGAGGTATTTACAGGAGRATTAGCACTTTTCATCATGGATCGCAGTGGAGACCCACAAGAGGTGGCAGTAAAGGCTGTTGGAGTGAAGGTACTTTTCGCATTTTTGTTCAGTTTTTCAGTTTTAGCTGCTCTGCTGCATCATCGTCTCTTGCAGCAAGTGCAGGGCAGGAGCATATTGTGGTTAAAGCACCTGGCAGCTTGTCAAGGGCAGTGTTCTGCTCTCCCAGCGAGAAGCAAAGGCATCAGTGAATATGAAAATAGTTGTATGAAAATAATTGTAGGGTTGAGTTATGCTCAAAAGTATAGGACTTGGCAGCAGAGGGCAGCTTCAAAAAGTTTTCAACACTGATTTGTGTTGTTCTAATTACCAAAATCATACGCTATGGAAAACAGTTTGGCCTGATGAATGTACCCTTCACAACTCACGATGGCACATTAAGCAACAGGATGTTCTGGGGAAAAAAAAAAAAAAAAAGAAAGATTGAGGGAAGCATTTAAGATTCCGTAAATGATTGCACAGCCCAAGTCATCGTTGCTATAAACAGCCTGAGTTAAAACACCACACAAGGAGCAGTGGTATCAGTGGCAAGAAGGATTTAGACATTGTGGTGTAGAAATGCGTTCTGTGAACAAATAGAAATGGAGATGTAAGACAGACTCTGAAAATTACCACACTTAACTTTCAGTTTAGCAATCTGCCTGTATTCAGTAAAGCTTTTAAATACATATTTAATTGAAAGTATATTCTTAAATCCTCTTTGTGGAGGAACTAAGTTCCTCGCTTAGAGCAAAGCCCGTGGAGAATGCTTGGGCCAGCTAAGGACTGACKGACTAAGAAGAGTGTAGGAGAAAAACAAGAATAGTGATAGATCAGAGAAAACAGACTTGTTGCTTGACAAAGAGCAAGCCTTTAGACCTTTTTGAAAATAGAGGCATTGCAGAAGTTAAAAGATATAGATAAAAAGGTGGCTCTGCTGCTGATACTTGGTCTTGGATGATGTAGCTAGATTATACTGTTTTAATACTTATATAGTTAATAGTTATCATGTGGGTGCCTGAGCAGTATGTCTGTGTGTGATAGAGTTTAACAGGCATCCTAGAGAAAACATGAAAGAGAAAAGAGGAGACTTGTTCTCATAAATGCTGCCAGCAGCAGCTTCTTGCTGTACCTGTCACATATA